GCTGTGCGATGCAGCAGACTGACATCAATACGACCAAGATGGATGATGTTGTACAAAGCTGTTATTACTATTCTCCATATGGCAACAACCAGCCCCACCACAGTGTTGATTAGGAACAGCAGGTATGTCAGGAGGAACAGACTCTCTCTGAAAAGCATCATGGAGGAGACTGTGAGAAAAAACTGAGTGTAAACATGAAGTTAATTACATTAGCAATACAAAGCCTGTGACAGAGCTTGTGACCCTGAAAGTGCTGACCTCTGATGAGTGGAGGCTTCACATTTTTAAATGAAGTAATAACAAATAAAGGATTCTGAGTTGCATTGTGGGAAATGGTATTTGAGGTTGGACCATAATAGGTCCTAAAACTCAAGAAATCTCAACCCTTTCAGCTAGATTTGTTCTTTGTTCTCCAACTTTATGCCCCAGTACAAAATTAAATAAACCCACTCATTATTCTTTAACAATCTATATAAATTAAACAATTTCTTTGTATTAAATGCACGTTTTTGAATCAGTTTTCAGCATAAAGCTAAAACTACTCAACAGAAACTCTCTGAGGCCCCCTCTCCCACAAAACAAAGACCCCAGTGTCCTCAGAAGTAGTTGCATGTCTCTAATTAACAAGTTGAATCCCAGTGAGAAGGTTTTCATGTTGTAATCTACTTAATCTACTTCTTTAGTATTTTTTGATGATACAGATACAAAGCCTTCAGTACTAATAGTTGGAAAATCATTTATTTATTTATTCAGTTCTTTTAAAGACATCATTTATGCTGTAAAAGAGCTAAACTAAATAATTGACACTTGTTACTAATAATTAAACAGTTTCATCCTCAGAATTACATTGCATTTTTATTAGTATCGGACAAAAATAAAATTACAACTAATAATTAAAATGTCTAAGTAATAAACAAAACCTAATTAAACTGCATTCCAACAAATGAGTAGGACTAAACAAACACACCTGTTGTTCAGGTCTCTTGTGCCGGCTTTTTGTTTGATGAAAGCGAACTTAGCAGTCACATGCTGAAGCCCTGTAACCAGTATCAGTGTGACCCAGGCCGGCCTGAGACATCACAAAGGTGGAAAATGAAAGTGTTTTGAATCATTGATTCATGAAAAGAGAAAAAAGGAAAGAGCTATATGAATTGTTGCTGACTCACCATGCCTTTCCTGCAATTTCAAAGACAATGATGTTACGGCCGTAAAACACTGGGATAATGATCAAAAACACCAGGAACAAGAAGCAGATGAAAAACACAATGGTCTGGATAGCCATTCCTGCAGAG